CGTATGTAAATGTAAAAGTTGACATTGAAGTCGACACCCAGAGGCAAGAGGCTGTTTCATGCTTAAACGCAATCACCAGACCAAAGTAAACTACTAAATATACAATGAGATCTCATCTCCAAATGCAGACACAAAAATTTTAAACGAACAAGAATAAATAAAATAAAATAAGCAAAAATAAGCAAAACAAATTAATCCCAACAAATAGATTAATAAATAAATTAAATAAATATGAAACAAATTAGCAAACCATGTGCGCACAGATACACACAAGAAAACGTAGTAATAACAACCAACAACAGAATAATCAATGGAAATAAAAGAAATTAAATAACAACACTATAAATAGCCTCAAAACTGCATCCGGATCCACAATTATTCCCACTCAACAGCCCCTAGAATAATTCGGAACACAACTATTATCGCCTTCCAAAATAACCGTTAGAATAATACAGTATATTGCCCTCAATGGAGTACAATAGACAACTAACAATGGATCACTAACCTGTATATATAAATAGTCAAACACAAGGCACATCCCCTGATGATTGCAATTAGTATAAAACAGACTCTAGGCGTTGACTTCAATGTCTACGTTCGCGGGAAATCATGGAAGATTGTAGTCTAAAAGCAGTAAATTCGACGTTGCTAACCAAAGTCTACGCTGTAGCTAAATTGGTATAGCACGTCAGGCTATATGCCGGTTCTGTGAAGGATACAGGTTCGATTCCTGTCGGAGGACACATAGTATCGATGAAAACTGATCGGACATTCAAGGCGGTAAATGTTGTTAATACTGTTTATTATAAACAGAGCATTTACTTAAATATTTGTGTCTATATGAATAATGTATAACAATAAAATATCTTAAAAATAATTGTCGGACACTGTCCATTTCGTAGTGTGTGACGTCATATATATATATATATATATATATATATATATATATATATATATATATGTGTGTGTGTGTGTGTGTGTATATATATATATATAGTGAACATTGAAGTCAACACTCAGAGGTGACAGGTTGTTTCATGCTAGACGAAGTCGTCAGGTCACTTGACGATTGTGTCTGGCATGAAACAGCCTGTCACCTCTGAGAGTTGACTTCAATGTTCACTTTTTATATTTATATTTACATACGCTCTATTTCTGATATTGAACACTTTATCCCATAAATATAGCACACCTTAAAACTATACTTCTTCATATATATATATATATATATATATATATATATATATATATATATATATATATATATAATATATTAATCATTTCATCAAAAGCAAATTAATAAAGCCACTAAGACGCAAGAATTTACCGCGTGTGAGAAAATATGAGAAAAAAGAAAAACACTATTAAGGAGAGAGAACAATAAAAGAAGAGGAATTAAGAAGACAGAAGATAACGATTGACATTGCATTTAATCATTTCATCCCAAGTAAGGCAATAAATCTACTAAGACGCAAGGAGTTTCTGAGTGTGAAAGAATATGTGAAAAAGGAAAACACTATTAAGGAGAGAGAACAATAAAAGAACAGAAATTAAGAAGACAGAAGATAAAGATTGACATTGGATTTAAATATTTGAAGGTCACATTTGACTGGGAAGCAAAATGCCGGATGAGGATTTCATAAGCGAGATGTGCGAGAGAAGAAACGCTTAGCATAGAACTTACGGTTACAACTAGCCCATTCAGCTATAAGTTGATGAGACCTTGCCGCCAATCTAATATATATATATATATATATATATATATATATATATATATATATATATATATATATATATATATATATATGTGTGTGTGTGTGTGTGTGTGTGTGTGTGTGTGATGGGTTTCACGAGCGCATATATATTACAATGATCCTCGGCAGAAGTGACAAAGTGACACTTTGGTCAAAGGCTCAGCACACTTATTCAGATTTTAAAAATCCATACGTAAATAAAGCCGGCATTTTTACGGGTATTGTGCTAGTTAATTTTAAAACTGATATTGACTTTATTAAACATTAAATTTAGTAAAGCAAGAGATATTAAAGAAACACTTTTTTAAAAAGAAACTGCCGGGAATTAAAAGTTTTGCAAAAAAAAAAAAAAAATAAAATGAGAGAGAGAGAAGCGTTTTAATCATTGATTTCTAGATTTAAAATAAACCGTGTAAACAAGTCTACCTTTTGAAAAATCAAAAGAAAAATCCTATGATTGCTTTGAGAATATAACATGTGTATTAATTCCCTTTGCAAATGTTTTATAACATTTTTCAGATGCTGCCCTGAAGCTGATATCATTATCTACCTGACAAGCGAAGACAGACGAAAGGGAAAATGTGTGCCGTTTCTATCGTGTCTTTCAAATTAGACAATGGGACTTCAAGAGAATTCGTTCTTTTCTTTGAAAATGGTCTGTCTTCTACTAAAATGAATAAAACTCAATCAGGGACTAAATGTAATTTGTGCCTTATAATCAATATGTAATAAAATGTGTATTTTTTATAAAAAAGTCAATCCAACAGCAAGGGATATTGTGGATTCCGGGATGAAATCCGGTACCAATAAATAACAAACGCCAATAATGAATATAGGAAAATAATGTATTAACGTAATAATACAAACTGGTAAAGCAGATTAGTAGTTCCAGGAATACGGGTTAGTAGCAAAATATCTATACAGTCTTTGGTATTGAAGTATCGCTGTATGACTTCTTACTGAGTCTCCGTGCTTGCTCACGGTGACTCTTGCTCGCTACGTTCGTTCTGTCTGTCTGTCTGTCTGTCTGTCTGTCTGTCTGTTACCTTCAACCTTTCACTCTCCCACTTCAGTCTCTCAGTCGGGTAGCAGTAGTATATGTATATACTAGGTGAGTCCATTTGTGTAAAAAGTGGAGGACCCCTCAACAGATATTTTATCCGTCCGATTTTTAGAGAGATGCCAATATACTTTGGAAAAATAGAACATTTACAGCAATATGTTTTACTCCTTTGATATAACGTTGGTGTTTTGCAGTAAGGAGAAATAAAATTCTCTTTTCTAAAGAATAAATATTTAAAAAAAAATTATTTCCCCACCCCCAAGCAATGGAATAAAGCCATTAAGGAACAAGAATGGGTTACTGTGTAACTAATAATATTTCATAATCATGATTAATTAGAATTTTGAAACTGGAAATAAAAGAATAAATATCATCAGATTCTTGCGTTTACGTCCACTGGCGTGAAACGAGGTATGATGGAAAGAAAAAATAAAGTTAATTTTGATGAAGAAGCTCTAGGTAATAATCGAAAGGTTTCTCTGTATGCTAGACAACACCTAGGATCAAGGCAAATCGCAAGGAATTGCAATCGTCATTGGAATCCTGAATGCCAAAAAGGCAAGGACAGAGATGTTGAAATGGTTGTCAAATTCGGACGAGGAACCCATCTTGAACACTGAGAATAATGGTCCAATGGTACCAAACGAATGATCAGGTAGCAGCCAACAACTGGTTTCAAAAACACCCAAGACGTATATGGACATGGAGAAGCCCAGGAGAAGAAACGAAAAACTAGATCTCTATCTATAAAATGCAGGATGTGTGTGTGTGTGTGTGTGTGTGTGTGTGTGTGTGTGTGTGTGTGTGTGTGTGTGTGTGTGTGTGTAACGAATGCACGGCCGCAATTTTCGACGGATTTGCACCAAAATTTACATGCACATGCTCCAAGTAAGCGGGAACGCCAAGACCGACTTTGCATTTCCCAACTCCCATCGATAGTGGAAATAATCGACTTTTTCCTGCTTCTACGGCAGTTTTCATGTAGTTTGCGGCCATTTTCTACTGTCCAGAGTGAGAGCCTCTAGCTGGCTGCCACGAATAGGCAGGAAGATTCTATTAGCCAGGGTGAGAGCCAACAGCTGACTGACTAGCATGCAAAAAAAATCGATAGCTGCATTCGTCACAATTGGGAAAAATTTAAATCTGCATGGCACTTTACACCAATTGGCTCATTCTCTTGCTTAAACTCAACATTGATTCTGATCGCGTAAAACTGGATTGGGTGTGAAAAAGTATTTGTTTCATTCGGTTTTCCAGTTACGAATCATTTTTTAAAGCTGGTCATTTTGTGTTCATTTTGTTTAGTTCTTTTTTCGTAACAGATTTAATATTTAGTATAGAGCTTAGAAAAAATTCGCACTGTGTGATAGGAAAGAAGTAAGGCATGTAGCAACATCAGCACGGCAAAGGGCACTCCTTTAAAGGCAAGGAAGGGCAAAAATATTTTAAGTGATTGCGATTGCTGTATGAGTCGTACGATTTTTGAATCAAGCACGGGCAACGCCGGGTCATACTGCTAGTCTACTATATAACTATCAATAAGAGATTAAGGAATACAATTTTACACGACAAAGCATACGTAAGTTCCGACAACGAGAGCGACCATCTTCCAGTGATATGTGAACTTACTATGGAAATTGAAGAGAGACAAGGCAACACCCAAATTGCAATAAAACAGATTCCTCAATGACCCAAATGTAAAGTACAAATATAGGGTTAATGTTAAAAGCAGATACAATGGACAAAAAGAAAATGGAAATTTAGAGTGGGACGCATGAAGAGAAGCTTTAGCAACATCAGCAATCGTGATCCTCCCAAGAAAAAAAAATGGATGACAGGTAGGAAGGGTTTACTCTCTATGCAAGACCATCATGCAAGGCACCGATGACGGTGGACGTAGGAGAGGACGCCAACGTAAAAACTGGTTGGACAATGTCAAGCAATCGACAGGTATGACTATATACCAGAATTGCTGACGGCTGTCCTTGATAGACCGTTATCGAGGAGATTTAGTGTGGGGTCTGCATTCGGATCCTCCTCCCATGATTACAAAAGTCAAGGGGATGATGATGATGATGATGATGATGATGATGGAATGGCAGAGCATTCCTGATGGAACAATTTTTAAGTGGCATATCTCAATTCCATCTCGAATTGCGGCAGTAGTTTATGTCAATGGAAGG